ATATATAGCATTAGATGAGTATAAAAGTTCAACTTTTCTAATAATAAATTAAATAACAAGTAAAATTATTTAAAAATCATGATTAAAGATATATTAAACAGAAGAATAAAATATGTTTGTTCATAAAATTACTAAAATATAAAAGAGAAAGCCCTTTAAAAATAAATTGGCAGTATCTTTTGATCTAAATATAGTTATCTCTGGAAATATGTCTCACAGATATAATGATGAAAGTAGAAAAAGTTTGAAAAAGAAGGACTTTTCCCTCAATGGGCTAAAAATGATAAGTTCATTTTTCAATTAAAAGAGAATAAATACATAATCTAGAACATCCCAACTGAATGGACTAGTAAAATAACAATTAGTACAAGTAACCAAAGGAAAATAATGTTTAGTTATAGTTAATAATGCTTGCTATAAAGTTAAGTTTAACAAATGCAGAACGGGGTATACTCAGCATAATAAAAACTATGTTCTAAAATGCCAAACAAAAATCATGCATATATATGCATACACACACATATATCACACACACACGCACACATATATATATATATATATATATATATAGAGAGAGAGAGAGAACAAAGACTAAAATACTTTAATGTAGGTGATTATATTATCAGAACAAACATCCCAGGATTACAAATACAATTAGCTACATTTTTAGAAATGTAAATTCTTGGGCCTGGCTTCACACCCAATCAGCGGGTGGGATTTATTGACGTGTAGGTTTTTTTGAGTTTGATTCATTTTGTTTTGTGTGCACATAGGTGTGTTGTGTGTGTATGTGTGTGACATGCACACGTGCTAGAAGAAGAGGTTAGGAGTCTTCCTCTGTCACTATCTAGCTACTGGCTAGAACTGAACAGGAAGCTCCTTGGTGAGCTCAAGGGATCGCCAGTCTCTGCCTCCTAGTGCTAGGGTTACAGGCATATACAAGCATGTGCAGCTGTGCTCAGCTTTTTACATGGCTGCTAGGGGCTCCAACTTGTGTCCTCATGCTTGCACAAGGGCTCTGATCCACTGAGAATGAGCTCTCTTGCAGAGCGCTATTCTGTGTATTTACAAGTTCTTCAAGGAATTTAAGGCAGACTACGGTTTCACAACCAATACAGTATAGCAAAAACAAAACAAAGTACAGAAAAAGCAGATCTAGTATAATTCTACAAAAACAGCTAAGAACATCTTCACAAACATGTTAACTTACCATTCATCTGTAAAGTTCAGCTTTATTGTGCTTGTAGTTGTTCCTTCTGTGCTGTAGTGCAAACTTAAAACTGGTTCACCTGTCCCTGGCTTGGGGCTCAGCCTTTCATTATTGTTATCTGAAAATTGTGTTTAAAACATTTGAAAAAGTCTCTGAAACCAGTAAAAAAAAATGACATTTCCTAAAATTTAAAAGAACTTAAGTTAGGTTGTTCTTGTCATAATTTTTATTCATGTTAGGTTCTCCTTTAAACTTCAAAGCAACATTATTAATTTCTAGCATGGTATACATGGCTCCCTCAGATTTAGAGGGAAATCAAATATACTGAAAACCATACCCTTTCATTAAGGAATCAAAAGCTATTAACATGCAATGACATACATAATAAACTGGTACCTTACTTAAAAATACCCATGATTTACTTTTTAGTTGCTTGAACACCAGAAGGATTAGCAGCAGCTAGAGTGTAAGAAAGACGAAAGGGCTCAAGGCTCTGCACAGAGCTGCTCAGGCAGAAGCTGCTGAGTTCTTGGCAAGGCGGCAGTGTACTATACTTTGACATTTTCTAAAACTGCTTCAATATTTTATGATAAATTCAGCTTTTATTCTTAACTGATCTTGCAAAGAAGTTATTTCTTAATAATGGACAATAATTTCACCTTAAAATTGATAGGGTATTCTACAATATATAATGCCTTTTTCAAAATGGCAAATAAAGGTGGGCATGGTGCTCACACCTGTAATCCCAGCACTTAGGAGGCAAAGACAGGAGGGCTTCCAAGATTTCAGGGCCAGCCTGTGTTCTACAGTTAAAAACAGGCCAGCTGGCCTACAGAATGAGACCGTCTTTCAAAAAGAAAAACTCATACATCTGTAACCCCAGCATTCAAGAGACAAAGACAAGTGAATTGCTCTAAATTTGAGTTCAAGCTGGTACATACAGTGAGTCCTAAGCCTGCCAAGGCTATTTAGTAAGATCCTGTCTCTAAATTAATCAATTAATCAATCAAACATAATGGCAAATCAAAGCCACAGAAACTGTAGAGACTATTCAAAGCCCTTTCTCCAAAGAGTGAAAGGATAACCAAGGACAAAATCCAACAGAACTTAAAAACTTCCCATTTGATGGTCATGAACAGCTTGTGGAAACATGAGAATACACAGGGAATAAACATGGGATGCACAGGCCCATGCAGGGTCTTAACTTGAAGAACATACCTTCTTCTCTTTACTTTTGAAGATACTGGAGCACTTACTGAAAGAATCTCACAGAACCTCTGGTCTAGCTTATAACCAGGAAACATAACAGCATTTCAATTAACTACTGGAGCAGAAAGGAGAGAGCATGCCCCAAGAGACAAGGGAACCGAAAAAGCTCAATGCTTACACTTCATTTTAAGTTCTAACCTGTGAGAAATCTTGACTTACATGATTAATTCTTATTTTTAAATAAAAGTGTAAAGACAAAGTTGGCATCCCAAATTATAAAAATCACTTTAATTCTATTTTTTGGACTCCATCTTTAATATAAACAGCTACTAGGAATGAACTAATAATCCATAACAATGTACTCCCCGCCCCCTCTCTCATCAGTGTCTCACCTTGGAGCCTTGGTTAGCTGAGAATTCACTCTGCATACCAGGCTGGAGCTGAACTCACAGAGATCAGCCTTCCTCTGCCTCCCAAGTGCTGGGACTAAAGGTGCGCACCACCAAAGCAGGCCTATAACAATGTCAGCACCTCAGTACTGTACAAGGGTCTTAGAGGAGACATTTTACAGAACAGCATTCCAGTAAAACACAGAACTTTAGCCTGGAAAATATCAAGAATGAGATTTACATCTGTCTAGTCTTTTACTCTTGAGTAAATTTATAGTTGTTAGTCATTTGTCCAGACAAATGACTTTGTCCTTTAGTTATGCAATTGAGATTTTTCATCCCATTGATAATAAAGACACTATTGTTTTAAGGTTGCTGTAACTGAGACTAAAAGCCTGGGGTGATCATGAACACAGGCAGAGCTAGATCTGGTGTTCTCAGAACATTTTATAAAATATGTTGCTATTTATTTTTCCTCTAAGGTAAGGAAGGAATAAAGGGTATGGTGGCACACGTCATTAAACCCATGCCAGGGAGGCATAGGCAGGTGGATCTGAGTTCAAGGTCAGCCTGGTCTACACTGCAAGTTCCAGACCAGCCAAGGCTACCTAGTGAGAGACCCTAGTTCCAGACCAGCCAAGGCTACCTAGTGTGCGTTAATAACCAAGGATTAGCATTTGTTTCTAACTCTCCTCAATCCACTCTTCTTGGGTTATGCTGTTTTGCATGACTATACACAACTTATTAAGATGGGTTTTCTGAGAATGGATGTGACTGGGGACTGGAGGAATGTCTAAGAGGATAAGAGTACTGGCTGCTCTTACAGAGGACCTGAATTTAATTCTCAGCACCAACATGGAAATTCACAACCATCTGTAACTCCAGTTCCAGAGAATCCTTGACTCCCTTGGCCTCCATGGGCACTAGGCACACGCATGGCACTCAGACATACATGCAGACAAAACACACATGCACATAATATACAATAATAAAATATTGTAAATAGATATAATTCACTGTGTGTGATAAAAATGCATATTTTAAGCTAAAATTTTCTATGAAAAATACTTCAAAGACCTAATGATTTGTTTTTATACCATTTAAAGGATATTTATAAGCATTTCGATTTCCTCTACCTTGTTTAGTTCTTTTAAATAGGAACAGCAAACACATTCTAAAAACTATTTCAAAACTCATTACCTAATATACACATTTTCTTTAATACTTCCCACAATACAATTTTTTGTCTTTACTGTCAGATGTGGAAGAACACAGTATTCATAACCATACATGGCAGAGCCTGCCTGCTTTATCATATTCCTAACGTTTGCTACCTGTGTGCAGTTTCCTAACTTTCCTTTGCTGTAGTTTCATCGTCTGGAGAACGAAGATAAGTATACCTACTCCATAAGGATGCAGTGAGGATTAAGGAAACTAACATAACGGATCAAAGCAATGTTTGGTACAAAAAGTGTGATATGAAGTGTTTAGGCTGTTGTTATTATTATTATTATATTATTAATTCAATATTATTAATTCAGTGTTGCAATCACAGAGTATTAACTCTAACTAAATATCTATCTACCTGCCTACCTACCTATCCATCCTAACCCATATAAACAGATTATGGCTCAACTATTTTACTTGTTTTTATATGTGTCTTGGAGTCTTGATTCCTACAACAGAAAATAACAATGATAATATCCTCATTATATTATGAAAATATAGGAGGTGACAGAAGTGAAATTCCTTCTTTCCTTTCTTCTCCCCCCCCTCTTCTTTCTTCCCTCCCTCTCTCCCCTTCCAAGTTCTCTTTATGTAATCCTGGCTGTCTTAGAACTATATAGAGCACTGTCCTGAATTCAGAAAGCCACCTTCCTCTAATTCCTGAATGATGGACTAAAAGTATGTGCCACCACACCTGGCTCAGAACTAAGTAAAATTCTTAACATACTGCTGATCACATATACTTAGTAGATGTCAACTATTATCAGAGATAATTCTAAATTAGAAAATAACTAAGTTAGAAGCATAGAAAATGACTGATTAATAGAAGAATAAAACTAACATGAAATTTAAAAACATTCATTTCAAATAACCAACTGGTAGATGGCAAACCTAACAAATACCCAGAATCTGGTGTGAAGTCTCATTTCACTCTCTTCTGTCCACCAAAATTTAAAACATACGACTTACAGATGTGTTCTGTAAATACCAAACTAACATTTCTCATTAATTTAACAGGCTTCAAACATTAGATACTTATTAAAAATAAAAAATTCACTATGTATTTGATGGCTACCTAAAATACTACTTAAACCAGACATGACAGTGCAGTAAACCCAGCTATTGAAGAGGTAGAGGGAGAATGATCTCAAGGGTGAGATCAGGCTGCATAGCTTAGACTCTGTCATTAAAAAAAAAAAAAAAAAAACACAGAGAAAGGAAAGCAGGGGGCATGATGTAATTACATTATAATCTCAAAAAATAAAAAAATCACAAATAGGAATAATAAAGGGCAGGGATATAGCTCTTCCTTAGTGTATGCACAAGGTCCTGGTGTCAATCCTCAGTCTTGTGCAAGTATACATTAACGCAATATTCTCATGATAATAGTAGAATTTCAATTTTGTAATAGTATACGAGTATGATGTATGATTTTAAAGCAAATATATATTTAATTAATGGCAAATCCAATTTTCCACTTCCCAATCTACCACAGAAGAACTGGTAAAATCAGTTTTGCTAGGTTCCGAGTACCCACTTGTCTCCTATAAGTCAGTGCTTTCACACCACAGGAAACCCACTTAGGTAAAATTACCCCAAGTGATTTTTAGTTATCACCTTCTACCTATGATATCACTATAGTAAGTATTAGGTAATCTGCTCAGTCATGACAGACTTTAGCTCATACAAAACTACTTTCTTACACTCTCCCCCAAGCTAACTTTCATCCAAAAAGAAAACATTTAAAAAAATAAAATGAAATGAAAAAACCTATTGACTTAAATATCTGAAGAGATATTTGTAAGTTTAATATAATTTTATATAATAATTTTATATTATATATAATAAATAAGAATTTTCTCTTAAGAACAATAAGCATAACAGATAGAGAAGTAAAAAGAAAAATTCTTATTAAATGTATCACTTTCCTAGGCATGCTACANACCAACATGGAGAACATACTGAGTCCCAAACTCTTTAAAAAATATATTACTCAAAGGGGAGATGGTAGCACACACCTTTATTCCACACTAAAGAGGCAGAGGCAGGCAGTTCTCTGTGAGTTCAAAGGACAGCCTGGTCTATATAGTAAGAGTTAGATGAGCCAGAGCTACATAGTGAGACCCGTCTCAAAATAAAATTATATATATATGATTACATATGATATATGTATATACACACATACCATATATGTAGATACATGCACACCCACATATAATATACACACATATATGCACATATATGTGCACAAATATATCTATATGTGTTTTATATACATAATATATTCACATATGGACATACATATAAATGATATATATTATACAATATGCATCATAGATACCATTGTGGCTGCCCATAATTAGCACAGGAGAACCACCCATATGTTTGTCTACAACTTTAAATTTTATAAATATGATAAAGTATTTCTCATATAACAATGTGTTATTTGTTTTTTTTCTTATAATTTTATTTTGAAAGCATATTGATGAAAGGATGTAGGTACTACTGAGACAAAGTCAGGAATGGGGAATACGCTCTTGTAGTCCCAGCTATCTTGTAGGCTGAAACAGGATTGTCTGAGCACAATCAGTCCAGGCAGCAAAGTCAGACCTCTGACGACATGTTTTTCTTCTTTTAAAGTTTGATACTTATGCTGTAGGATGTGCATTTATCACCATCTAGGTGATCAAGCACTTTCCATATCGCTTATTTCTCACAGTACTTCCTAGATTTCTTTATGGGGTACTTACCAAAGATAAAACGGTTACTAGTAATGTTCAATTTCAATCTATCTATTTTTTTTTGGATAATTAAATACATCACTGTCTGTCTATGCAGCAGTATAGGGAGGATCATGAATACAGAGTCCTCACCAGTGGGTTAATGTAACCTTACGGGAGTGAGTGAGTTCCTCCTCAGAGGAAGGTACTGGTAGGTAAGTTGTTACCAACCCAGTTTGGTTTCCTTAGCTTTCTTTAGCTTTCCCACTTGTCAGCTGTCTTCAATACACTTCTGCTTGTCCCTCCTTTCTTTGGCAATGCATGGAGCAGCACGTGACCCTAACTAAAAGCCAAGTAGATACTTTCAGAGCTGAGAGTCAAAACCCTTTCCTTATGTGTTATTCAGTCTCCCCTCTCCCCTGCCCTCTCTATTGTCCTCCCTCCTCTGCCCTTTTACATACATATATTTTAAAGACAGAGTCTCACTATGCAGACCTGGCTGGCCTGGAACTCACTGAGATCCACTTGTCTCTGCTTCCCAGGTACTGGGATTACAGACATATGCCACCATGGCCAGCACTTAAGTATTCCTTAATAGCAAGAGAAAACAGACTAAGACGCTTATCCCCCACCCCCAGCCAAAGGATCTCGTCCATAGCTTCTTTCCCCTGTTTTTCCAGAAAGCTCTGTCTTTCTGATGGTTTATTATAATCTTATCAAGATACCTAGACATAATTTTCTCATTAATTTCTGGCTAACCAGTTTCAAAGTATCTCTTATTGTTACCATTACTGTCATTATTTTGTAGTGCTGGATACATAATCTACACTCCTAGATAAGATAAGCAATCTATCCCAAGCCCAAGTTCCATTATTCTACTTCACAAAGATTTTTAAAATTTACTCATTTCCCACTCCTACTGCCTTAGATTGGATTCTTCATTGTCTCTTACCTAGATTATTACAATTTCTTGTATGTTCTGACACTCTTCAATCTTTATCTTCTATGTATTCATTTATAATATTGCTCAATGAACTTTCCAATATGTAAAACTGGGTATTATGCTGAGTTTTCCAAACTAAAATAATTTCCATAGCTCTGATCACTTAAAGAATTAATGATGGCACACCTTTAATCCCAGTATATGAAACAGAGGTATGTGGACTGATATCTGAATGTTCCAGGCCAGCCTGGTCTACACAGAGGGTTCCAGGCCAGCCAAGACCAAAGTAAGACCCCATCTCATCACAACAAGCCACCCCCCCCAAAAAAAAACCTGACCAAATATTGGTACCAATAAAAGTGGTATGACTTCACGCACTGCATATATATGACAGCGAATAAAAACAACACATATAGAATATGGAGAGAGGAATATACAAAACAAGCCTCCAAACAAATACATGGCTGCAAATCTAATGAGAGCAAATAATAAGCCACAAAGAGGAAAAGGGGGGCACATTGGGAAGTCAGTTTTTTAAAGAGATTGACGCTTAATGGAGAAGTTGAAATTGCTTAACAACAAAGCAGTTTGGGAGTGGGAACAGTGTACGTAAGATATCTGAGAAGGAAAGGAGCTCAGAGTGTTAGCAGGCAGGCTACTTGGTAAGAGCACAGTAAGCGAGCACCATGTCAGCAGACCAAAGGCAAGACCGCAGTGATTGAGCAGAGCTTAGGAGACTGAGGTGACTTGACAAGAACACAGTGAATGAGCAGAATGCCCAAAAGTAAGCTCAGTGAGAATAAGGGCTGGATCATATGTGGCATATAAGGCTTGGTGTGAACTTCAGTAGTTTTCAAGGGTTATAGAAACTTCAGATGGAAAAGTGGTATGAGTATATATTCACTTTTTAAAGGTTCATCCTGTCTGCTAGTAAAGAATAGACTGTGGCTTGAGTAGACATGACACAGTCAGTTACAGAGCTATTACATTAGACCAGAAGTGACAGGCTGGTACAGTTTATCCTCAGATAACACATGTTGCCATAGGTAAGTCTTACCCATTGCTAGGCCATTTCTGCTCATAGATCTTATCACAAAACTACATTTACAATGGCCTTTAACAATGTAGTTTCTGCTAAACACAATTGATATTTGACCACCTACAACCTCTCTAGAGGTTGTATGACTACATGGCAAACTATATTACATGACCACCAAATAAGGCACCTCCTAATTTCTATCTCTGGGCTAGTCACCCTCACTAAATGGCATCACCATTCACCCATGCACTGAGGCCAAATCTGTGGGTGTTAAACTTAAATCTTCCCTTTCTTATGTCCTAAAACCATATATAAAATGAAGTACCAACTAAATAGGTATAATATTTAACATAAATCTATAGAAATTATTTTATGTGGCTAACTAAACATAAATATGGCTACAGTGTAATATGAGATGCTATAACTGTATCATATTTTATTACTCTGCATAAAGATAAAACATAGTTAATTCTGTAATTCTCAAATTCATTTACTCTATTTTTTTCTTTTCCTCCCTCACACCATTTTCCACATTGTATTTTGCTTGATTTTTTTTTTAACACAAATTTTCAATGTAACTCAAGGCAATTCTCTACATTGGTCTTCTGAGTGCTGGGATTAAAGGCAAGAACTACCACGCCTAGTTTTATTTTTTAAGAAGAGGAAAGCAACAACAAGAAGAAAACAAAACACCTACTAACAATACGTGCCACCAAAAGATTTAGAAATAAATTATTTAAGACTGAAAGTACAGAAGTTCTAATTTGGTTTTTGAATATTTTTCTAGGACAGTTAGAATTAGACCTATTTCATACCAGACACTATAGACATATTAATTTTTTCACTCAATCAACAGTGAGCCTTCCTATGTACGTTACCTTTCAGCCTATCAAGTCTTATGGATTTCATGTTTATTCATACTTTTTTTAAAAAAAGTTGTGAAATCTATTAGCTACTCATTTGCCCCCTTCAACTGAGATAGCTGAAGTCAAGCTGGTGAGATGACTCAGCAGTGAAAAGGCTTGCAGCCAAGCCTGACCTCAGTTCAATCCCTGGAACCCATCCAGGAGACGGAAAGATCTGACTCCTGAAAATTACCCCCTGATCACTACTCAGGATTGCACCATGTCATGGACCCCTGATATACATACATACCACCTGTAAATATATAAAGAAATAATTTAAAGTTATTTTTGGGGGGGCTTAGTATCACTAACATTATTCTGTCACAAAGTGCTTAGAGTACTTTAGAGAACTGAGTTAACATAGTAAGTTCTTTGCCTTAATTTTCAAGAAAGTCCTAAAGTACTTCTTACAGTCTTCCTTTCTGGATCCTTCTTTTCATGTACCTCTTCTTTGTTAGAATGTTGTCCTTTTCCAATTCCTCTCTGTACTGTATCAGATCTGCTAGTAATAAAGCTTGACCAATAAACCTGTGATTGCATCAAATTCTCCTTAAGCCTTTGCTTCTTCAAAAAACTACCAGTGGAAGTGCAAGAGGTTTACCTGCTGGAGGCCCAGCTTTTTTCAGTATGACTTTGGTTTTTTTTTTAATACATTTTTTGTTGATATTTATTGAGCTCTACATTTTTCTCTGCTCCCCACCCTGCCTCTCCCCTCCCCCCTTCAGTCCTCCCACAAGGTCCCCATGCTCCCAATTTACTCAGGAGATCTTGTCTTTTTCTACTTTCTACTTCCCATGTAGATTAGATCTATGTAAATCTCTCTTAGTGTCCACATTGTTGTCTAAGTTCTCTGGGATTGTGATTTGTAGGCTGCCTTTCTTTGCTTTATGTTTAAAAACCATCTATGAGTGAGTACATGTGATAATTGTCTTTCTGTGTCTGGGTTACCTCACTCAATGTTTTCTAGCTCCATTCATTTTCCTGCAAAATTCAAGCTCTCATTATTTTTTTCTGCTGTGTATACTCCAAACTTTGGGTTTATAAGCGTAAAAGCTTAAAATTAAAAGCATCAGAGCTGAGTGGGGTGGAAGCATGCCTGTAGTCCCAGCACTCAGGAAGAAGAATAAGCAAAACCACTGGCAGTTCAAGGCCAACCTGGGCAACATATAAGACCTTGTTTCAAAAAGCAAAACAAAACAAAACAACAGAAACAACAAAAAAATCAACCTATCTTGAGTTTCACCACCAATTAAGTATGACACAAACCCAAGTGTCATTACCATAGCAACCTAGTAATATGAAATATTACTATGTTCAAATAACTTCTAATGAACAATGGGGCAATATGCTAATCTTAAACCACAGTTCTATATGATCTTATGATATACAGCTATAAGAAAAATTTTATCTTCTATTCATTACAAACTATTCAAGGAGAGACTTCAGAGTTGTTATAAAATGTTGAAGGCAGAAATAAGCTTACACAGAACATAATTTGTTCAAGCCATGACAGCTTTTTGTGCACAATACCACACAAGATAATCTAGTCCATAAAATACTAATGAAGACCATAATCAAAATGATATGCTATGCAAAAGCAAGAAAGAACTTTGTTTATGCATTGCAATAAAACTATGGATGGATGGGCATAGCGCATCTCCTGTTGCACGCACCCTGTTGCTCATCAAGTGACATGGATCCGAGCTGTTTGTTAACCACAGAAGAAGGAGAATCTGAAACAAAAATGAGATTTCAACTTAAAAGTAAGCAGCAGAAAACTGCACAGCAATGTCACGATAATCTCTAAACTTAAGAAACAAATGTATAAGGGTGGGGAAGAGGAGTAAGTACTATGGTGTGTTTTCCAAGCAGCGAGTAAGCAGGGTCATGTGCTTAAGATGTTATTCCAGGCAAGCAATTAGCAATCTTGAGTCTGAGTTGAGAAAATATTCTACTTCCATGCACACACCTTTAATCAAATTCATATAGCACAAATATAAGGTGCCAGATAGATAATCAGAAACAGGGTATTTCCTCTAAACAGAAGATACCTTGCCTTTCTTAAATTCCCTCATCAGCTCTTCAGATGGCTTTCATCCTGTTTTGGGAGGTTCAAAGCATGAAATGAGATGCTCACTAGACACTGTGAGATGTTGCTTGCTATACCATGAGCAGAAGGAGTCAGGATGTTTAACAAAAAGTGGTTTGTAGGGAAAACAGGCAATGAATTAAATACCTTCAAAGAAACATGTAACTTTAAAAACTCTATGGTACATTGTGCATAATGAAACTATACTCTGTGGAAGCTTAGGCTTCTTTAGAGGGTACCTGGCAGAAAAAGAAAAGCAAGAAGAAAGCTTAATGATCTGTGCTTTCTACTTTCTACTTTGGCTTCAAACAGTACAACTCTATTTTGATCTTTTGGATACATTGGGTCTTCATGTGAGAATTTATTTCATTATTGGGTTCTAGTCTTTAGGAAACACTGGAATAAAGGACTGCAATGGAAAAGGCATTTGCCTGGTGTTAACACATCTTAATTCTAATAATCAGCAACATTTTTAGGCAGATTCTTCTTTCTCCCTATCAGCCCATGGCTGATAAATTACTGGAGAATGTACGTTATACATCCCTTGTCTAAAACAAAACAAAACAAACCTGAAAATGCAAAATCCAAAATGCTTTGAGTGCTAACATGACCCAAGTAGAGAATTTTACTGCTGACCTATGGCAGAATGCAATCAGAATATATCTATACATTTAAAACACTGCATAAAATTACCTCTGATATTTGCATCAAATGTACAAAAAGCACAAATTAATTTCCTGCTTAGCCCTGAGTACTTCCCCCAGACACCTTATTAGGTATATGCAACTATTCCCCCAAAATGCTACTTCTGATCCCAAGCAATTTTGGACAAAGCCATGCCTACTATAGAGGAGCCCCAGTGCCCCAGTAGAGCTACAGCAAAAGGGAAAAGTGTGGGTAACAAACATGGTTTTACCTCAAGTGTGAAAATGATTCCTCATTCCTAAGATCTTCTGCCCTAGTTCTTAGTGAATGTTTTTCATGTCTCACTGAGCACTAGCTATGATCCTAACGACATTTCATTTCCTCCAAACAGGTGTTAAGTACAGATCATCCTTAGCTGAATAGGTAAGAGAAATTTCCCAATACACCCTGGTTTCAGACTAAATTTACACCATTTGATTGCTTTCATTTGAAGACTGAAGCCTGCTACCAGCATCATTTCTACTAACCTGAAGTCTTCCATATTCTAATATCATTATCATTCCAGTTTGCTCAGAGAAATTGATAAACCGTGACATTATTCTAAAGTCTGATGCTTTTATTCATCCTTATCTATCATCTCTTCACGGTAATATTTGGTTAAGTTCTTTACTACACAAAAGGAAAGCGAGAATGGTGGTGTTCACTGGTTCCTTAACCCACCATACTTTTCACTTTAAAATGATTTCTCATTGATTCATTTTAGATCTAATTTTGCCACCCGCATTATTTTGAAAATCAAGCAGTTAAGTCTTTAGAAGTAAAGTTATATCTTTCAAAGCAAAAAAAGCGCCGATTGATTAAACATTGGAAAAACTCTGTAAGAGTCTTTTACAAAATACAGTTCGCTCCTCTGGATTCATTACACATTTCTCCATGCTCCCCTTTAATAATTAAAAGCTCCAAGACAACACTAAGGCCACTAAGACATACACTTCACAAATACTGTTTTTCTACATTATGGAATGCATTAAATCTTCTTGAAGTAAGATGTATCTTGCTCTTTTAATAAAATTTAGAAAGAATCACTAAAATACACACTAATGAAGATCTTTAATGCTATCATCTCCACAAACCCGTACTTTAGTCTGACAGTATTTAAAACAATGAAGCTTACTTTAAACCAACAACAGAATCCATTATCAATTAAAACATTTTTGTTATATTGCTTTAGCCTGTAACAATTGTGTATCTCTAAGAATTATTTGTTATTCTTATTCCTTAAAATTTTTCCCTGACTGCTCTTTGGACTGGATAGGGAGAGGGAGGGGGGAGTGGGGGAATGGGGAGGAAAATGGGAGGAGGTGGAAATTGTTAATTTAAAAAAAAAGAAAAGAAAAAATTCAAATTACATTTATTGGCTTTATGTGCTAGTCTACTGTGTGTGGGTATGCACATGCTACAGCTAGCTCATACTTGGAAGTTAAAAGACAACTTTTGAAAGTCAGTTCTCTCCACCACGTGAGTCCTGAAGAGTGAACTCCAGTTGTCAGGCTTGGTATCGGGCTTTACCCACTGAGGCATCTTGCTGGTCCAAAATCTTTTAAAGGCTAATGTTTATGACACTTTGCCTATTGAATTTACTTTATGTGCCATCTTGGGGACATGCAACTCCTTTTAGAATTATTATTTTTCTGTAACATAAATACGTTAAGTAACATGCTTTTCTAATATTAAGTGTTCATAAATGCCTATAACTCCTGTTACAGAAATACTTCCAAATATTAACACAATAACCAACTGATGGGGGAAAGTCTTCTGTTTTGTGTTAATTTCATTGGTTAAATAAAGAGACTGCCTTGGCCCTTTAATAGGACATAAAATTAGGTAGGTGGAGCAAACAGAAGAGAATGCTGGGAGAAAGAAGCTGAGTCAAGGAGTCGCCATGATTCTCCCACTCCAGGCAGACGCAGATTAAGATCTTTCCTGGTGGGGAGGGAAATGGGAGGCTGGGAGGAGGCGGAAACTTTTTTTTTTCTTATTCTCAATTAAAAAAAAAATCTTTCCTGGTAAGCCAGCTCGTGGGCTACACGGATTATCAGAAATGGGTTAGATCAAAATGTAAGAGCTAGCCAATAAGAGGCTAGAGCTAATGGGCCAGGCAGTGTTTAAAAGAATACAGTTTCCGTGTAATTATTTCGGGTAAAGCTAGCCGGGTGGTGGGACGCAGCCCAGCCTGCCAATCCTATTACAACAACTAACAGAATAACAAGAAACAACAAAAATGTAAGAAGCTTAAATTCATTGCTGCAACTGTTTGTCTATTCTACTCCATATTTATGTGAGATGTTTTAGAAGGCTTTATTACAAAATAAAAATCAGAATGTATTGTCCACTACTAAAAGCAATATGCCAAGTCAACACATTTAAAGTATTTTAAATTATATTATTGTAAAGGTTGAAATAAATATTAAGTAACAGTTCATTCGGTACTAAACGCAATGTCATTTACTGTGTATTTCTTCCAAATTTGCAGTTTGGTAAGAAAATCCTTAAGTCCTTTAAACACCAGAATTTTTTTAATTGTAGAAAAACAAAAAAAAGATTATAATCTAACATATAACAAGACTTCTTCAGCCATATTTCCTGGGTTTGAATGACTTTTACTCACTAATATTGTAGCCCTGGGCAAATTATTTCAATTGTCTTGAGTCTCATTTCTAAATCTATAAAAGGAATGCAGTATTCTAATGAGATGATCCCTGTAAGCTACATAACATACAGGGAAATGTGAGTTCATCTAACTACTAGCTGCTGTTTTTCAGTGCTGTGGTACTGACTGAAAAAGAATGATGTGAAATTGTCTTCAAACTATGGAATATAGACTCATTTAATTACAGTTTAAAATCCTAAGATTCACTACTGTTTTCCTTAGGACTCAAACACTTAAGGTAATTAACAAAGGATTTCAGAATTAGGTCAATATCATGCCTGATCTATTAATGTACAAAGCCTAAAACATGATCCAATGCATCCATCTCAGAAGTGCTACCCTGGCTGTCATTGTGAGCATTGTGGGGAGGCTGACAGTACACAGGGCCTGATTGCACAGGACATGTTAAATGCTGATTTTTTCCAATATGGCTCAGTTTTGAAAAGCCCTTTTTAAAAAATAATCATCAATGTTTTATACCCTTTTGGGGTATAAAAGTTCCTTTTTTTCCAATCAGCAAAACCGTGCCATAAAGTGAAAAAACAGTTCCTACCTGACCCTCTCTAGGCTGGCTCCATGCTCCAGTGCGGCTCTGTGGTGGTTGGGCCAGGACCAGTAGAATCCACAGGGTGTTGTCACTCTGAGCAGGAGCCAGCAACCCATGACTTCAGGGGACCTGAAATGGAAAAAAAGACCTGGGCTTTAAATTAGCCATATACGGAATGCCTTTGCTGCAGTTATTTTGGGCATTCATTTGACAAATGTACAAACAGCCCTCAGAATCCTCAATACTGTCTACTTTAAATGGTCTTGCTATAAAGACATTCTGAGGAAAAAATATACTATAAATAAGACGGTAGTCTCTTGCAAATATTAAGAACTATATATTTAGCTATCCTGTCTCTATGCATCTCTGTTAACTGGGGTATACTACACTACCTAAATATATATTATAAATAAGATATACTCTCTCATAAGTATTAAAATCTATATATACACATTATTTATCCCATCTCAATGCCATCTGTTATGTAGGGTAGCTACAATACTTAAATAAACTGGTAACTGGGAAACTCAGACAATAGCCAAATGAATTACCCAAGGTTCATTCTTGTCATAAGGTAAGAGACAGAAATTCAACTAGTCTCAGACCCAGATAATAATGAGATAAAGAAAAAGTTTTCTTTTTAGGATAAAAAAAAATGCTTCAAAACCTGACTGAGTTTTATTCCTAGGACCCATGCAGCGGAACTGATCCCTTGCAAGCTGTCCTCTAGCCTATACACATA